GACTTTAATAGGTCCACTCCCTTCCCTTTCTCCACACTCGTGGACACTTTCCACTAATCAACTGCCCAAACAGAGGCTCCTCGGCCCTAGAGCTGAATCATGGGGTGGGAATGCACTGTCCAGAATGTATCCTGCCTTCTGTAACCCCAAGGAAGGCAGGTTCTGTTACTTTCACAGTGACAGAGTCACTGAAACAGCTGTCGTCCTCATCAGCACATGGGACAAATCAGCCACACCTGAGCTGACAATGAGGCCGGTCAACTCCCACAAAAGCAAGGACCCAGCTTTAAAAATCTTTGGAGCAGGTCAGTCTCCACTCCCCTGCTGACTCCCTTGAAGCTCTCCCAGGGAGGGTCAGCCTTTGTGGGTTGTGGGATGCAGTTCGGGCACACTCTCCCACCCAAAGACTCCCCTGAGAATCGGGCATCAAGAGCTTAAGACAGTTCATTCACAGCAGCCAGGGAAGGGCTCCAGGGTCTCCAGCTCCCAACCCTGACAGATGTGCAATTCTGTTGACATAATCACCCAGTGCCCACGGAGCAGGGGCCTCCACAGATCTTTGCACTCTGTCCTCCCAACTTTAACAAGTTAAGCTCTGCTCAGAGGCAGCAGGAAAGCATCTACAAAGACCATGCATGAGCTCCCAAGAGCATCCTGTTCTTCCCCAGCCTCCATGGCTGGTGGGAATTTCCCTGGGTAATTCCCCTTCCTTGTCCACTCAGTGTTCCCGACAGCAGCCCATCTGGCACAGTGAAGATGGCACCCGCTGGACTGCAGACACTTCTCTGCTCTGGGATCCAGGACCTCATTCTCCCTTTCTGCTCATCCATTATAAACACCACATGGTTTGTGTGTCAGGCCACTTGACATTAGAATGTCTTGTCACACGTCAACGTTGCCTCTTTCCTGCCTTGATAATCACTTCAATCCACGCTGGCACTCAACATAGTTCATTCAGCCAAAAGAGGAACTAGGGAAGCAAGCACACCAACCTGGAGGCAGAGACTTCTCAGGCATGGGTCACTGCACTGGAGTCCTAGCTTTGTGTGACACTGGGCCAGGCATCCAGCCCCTCAGCTGCTGTTTTTCCAACTACAGGCAAACTAACTAACAGCATGTATGGGCTCTTGGTTGGGAACAACTCAAATGTAGTCTCCTCACTCGGCCTCAGACACACTTCACAACTTCAAGCACCAACTAATCCTGTGTTCTCAAGTCAAATATAAATGTTTTATTTATATACTTATGCTTTATTTATTTAATTTTGTGTGTGCACATATGCACACCTGAGTGTGATGTCTGTGTACATGTGTACAAGTGTCCTAGAAGAACAGAAGAGGGTATTGGATCCCCTAGAATTGGAGGTACAGGCGAGTGTGAGCTGCCCGAAATGGGGCCCTTTACAAGAGCAGTAAGTGCTCTCCACCACTGAGCCATCTTCTCCAGTCCCCTTACTTATGCTTTGCATGCCTTTCACCCCAGCACTCGGAAAGGGAGGCAGGTGGTTCTTTTGAGTTTCAGGCCAGCCTGGTCTACAGAGCAAGTTCCAGGATAATCAGGACTATACAGCGAAACCCTGTCTCAAAAAACAAAACATAAAAAAATTTTGAAAAGTGTCCTGGGATGGAATTTGTCAGGATTAGCAGCAAAAGACTTTAACCACCAAATGTCTCACTGCCATACACATGGCCCTTTAAGTCTCATCACTAGATGTCCACTTGTATCCATTTTAGTTTCTCATACATACACATATGTGTGTGTGTGTGTGTGTATTAATTTATTGTTATATGTGTAAGTGTTTTGTCTATGCACCATGTGCATGCAATGCCTACAGAGGCCACAAGAGGAGTTAGCTCTCCAGGGACTGAAGTCAAGGATAGCCATGAGCTGCTGGTTCTCTGGAAGAGCAGCCACTGCTCTCAACCCCAAGCCATCTCTCGAGCCCCTAAGTACCAGTATTTTCAAAGCCGTTTGTAATTGTTCCAACCACTCCTCTTCAAAGGGACACTCTAGGAACAACCAAACCTGCCCCCACTGCCCACACCTCAGCACCTACAACTCTCCACAGCACTGTCCACGCTGAGTATCATCCCGGTTTCCAAACCTCACCTACCTTTGTGAACACCTACCCTTCACTCCGACTTCACTACCTCCTGGTGCAAATACTCCCTCCCCACTGTGAACCACACACCTGACTGTTCTGCTGACCGCGCCAAACCTGACTCTGAATTGCTCCCCACTCTATGCACAGCAAACAGTGTGGGCACAAGTCCAACTGTACAGTGAACTGTCCTACCCAGGGCCGGTGTGTCACGACTCACTGACCACTGCCTGTGTCATCCGAAGGAGGTGGAGTCAAGAGATCTAGCTGGACACAGAAAAATTAGCCAGACGCTTCATATTGTTTTCTGAGTAAAATTTTGCTTGGATTAAAAACAACAGAGGCCCCAATTTCTCTAAAGATTCAAGCTTCACATTATTCATCCATTTTATCCAAGTCTTCCTAGACCCAATCTCTCCTGGGAAGCTAATGAGTACATTTTCTAATGAGTACATTATTTAGTGTGGGCACGACATGGTGCACTTGTCAAAGTCAGAAGACAACTGCAGTGAAACTCCTTCCACCATGTGGGCCTCAGGTTTATCAGACCCTTCCCTCACTGAGTCATCTCACTAGATGCTTTTATTTCTATTTGTAGTTGGTGTTTTGTCCCCCGTCCCCCCCCAGACAGGGTTTCCCTGTGTAGCTTTGGAGCCTGTCCTGGGACTCACTCTGTAGACCAGGCTGGCCTCAAACTCAGAGATCCACCTGCTGCTGCCTCCTGAGTGCTGGGATTAAAGGCGTGCGCCACCACCGCCTGGCTTATTTGTATTTTTGAAAAATGATTAAAAAATTTATGTGTAAGCCAGGCAAGCTAATGCAAGCCTTTAATCCCAGCACTTGGGAGACAGAGGCAGACAGATCTCTGAGTTCGAGGTCAGCCTTGTCTACAGAGTGAGTTCCAGGACAGCCAGGGCTGCAGAGTAACCCTGTCCAAAAAAACCAATAAATAAAGAAGCAAATGTATGTGTATGTGTGTGCACCATGTGCATGCCTGGTGCCTATGGAGGTCAGAAGAGGGTGCTGGATCCCCTGGAACTATAGTTACAGATGATTGTGAGTTGCTATGTGGGTGCTGTGTCCTCTGCAAGAGCAGCCAGTGCTCTTGATGACTGAGCCATCTCTTCAACCCCGAAAAGTTACTTTTAAATGGGAGGGGGAGTAAAATTGTATAAGCTCATCAATGAAATACATGCAATGTCTTCACCACCGTCCAGCACTTAAAAAACAACAGGGCCTAGCAGGATTTTAGGATGACAGGAGGCTCAGCCCTCTACCTGTCTCGTCAATCTGTCAAGAACCACTGGAACTGGTTAAGACGCATCAATCTCTGAAGAAGATGGTCCACAGCTAGAAATGACTTTACTTCCTTAGCCAGAAATATCCTAAGCAATCATGCTCAGTACAAGGCCCAGCTGGGAAAACAGCATCCTGTCCGGAAAACAATAGATGCCTGAGCTGCTTCTGCCAACTCTCATCTTCCCACTGACCTCAGCTGCATCATTTCACTACAACAAGGCACACTTGGCAGGGACGGCTGCTCTGCCTGCCATAACGGGTACAGACTCTGCGGGGGTCTAATTTAAGGGGAGAGAGGGCAGAGACAATATTCTGGGTTCAGGATGTGGCTCAGCTGGTAGGGTGCTTGCCTAGTGTGCAGGAGACCTTCTATCCCCAGCACAGCATGGAAGGAGGCTTGGTGGCTGTGAGCTCGGCATTTGCAGACACTGGAAAACATGAAGTTCACGGTCATCCTCCTCAGCTATATAGCAAGTTTGAGGCTCATCTAGGGTATGAGATCTCAAAAATAAAAATGAAAAAGAAAATTTGTTTGAATATTAAGATCTGGAGTCTTAACTAGCTTCCTTGAACCAGGCCTCCAACCCCAATACTTGGGAGGCAGACAGGAGGATCCTGCCCCCAAAAAACAGAAAGTGGAATCTTTCCTTAATCAGGCAAGTCACTGGCCAATTTCCTTTTCTTATATATAAACAGCCAACATGCAGTCTCTGCAATGACTATCCTATCAATCAACAAATCAACTCTGCATCCTCTCAAGTGAACCAAGCTGCTCCTCTGAGATTGATCACACAGTACCATTCTTACAGCAGGCTACCTTGACTGCCAACACACAAGTGCATTTTAAACCCCAAGGTTGAATGTCGGCTCTCAGCACAGGTGGACTTGGGACCGCACTGGACACGGAGGCTCTAGCAGTCATGGGGGGAGTGTGCACACATGGCTGAGCGGTGACCACAACCCTAGCTGTGGGCTCAGATCAAACCAGCAGTCAGGAGCCACCCTCCCCTGAACAGTGGGAGACACTGCTGACACACCGACTCTGAAACTGCAATCACTTCCCTTATTTATCTCCCCCATGTGCAAAGCAAAACATCCCTCGGAGCCACTCTAGGCTGGGGGAGGGGTCATGAGCCAAAGCAAACAGAAAAGACATCAGCAAGAGGACATGTGACAGAAGAGTCAAAGCCAACAACATTGTAGGAGAAAATAATTGAGCCTGGCTTTTTACTCAGAGGGAAAAACCCACCTAAAGCAAGACACCACATCAGGAGCCCGTGGCAGACGGGTGCTGCGATGACGCTAAGCTCAGTACACACCTGCCCTGAAAGCACTTCTAATGATGTTTTGTCAGTTTTAAAAATAACAAAGGTAAAGAGCCTCAGTTTTCAACACCCAATCAGAGCAGACAGAAGTAAATTGCACACGTGGATGAAGCAGCAGCCACAGGACACGCAGGGAAGGAGAAGGCTTTTGTGTCGATGCTATTGACAGCCGCCACGTCTGCTCTGGGCAGGGGTGGTCTAGCATTCTAGTTTGCCAGGAAGGAGCATCACGGATCCCAAGGCCCACCACCTGCCCCTTCTCCGAGGGCACCTACCTTACTGTAAGTCACTACTGATAGGTTGTTTGCGTGACTGCTGGGGGACAGATTTACAGAGTTCTGTGACAGTCTATCCTGATCTTGCTCGGTTTGGTCAGGAGCAGGAGCCCATGTATTTTTGCTGATCGAGTCGAACCCGGAACCCCCAGGGTCTTTTAAGTTGTTTTCATCTGATTGTCGGCTCTTTTGGGGAGAGGCAAACGGGTTGAAGTTTCCTTCTACCTTGCGATGTGGCTGTGTGTTGAATTCCGTTTCAAAAGATGACAGCTGCTGCGTTACTCCTAAAAGTCCACCCACCTCCACACTGAGAATCACCCAGATGACATCTGAAACAAAAAGGCAGCTCATATCAATGCCAGGCATACCCTTGGCCCAGGGTGATCACCACCGAAAACCCAAATACTACTGAACCACTGAGAAAACCATTCTCCACAGCCAACTCTTTGAAAGCTGTTGAGACATGTGCACAGCCTTCAATAGCGTCAAGGGCGGGCAGGCTCTGGTGCAGTTCTGTGGTGGGACCCACGAAGCTGCAAGGAAGCTGCATGGAGCAATCTGGAAACCATTACCCGAGAGCAGGCAGAACCAGAGAGCTCCAGTTCACAGGATGCTCTGTGTGGTTTCACTTCACTTTGCATGTGCTTAACTCTGAAAATTCCAGGAAGGCAGAATTCTTAAAGCTAAAAATGCTTACTTTTTGTTATGACTAGACTTGCAACCTATTTAACCTTACCCCACTTGGGAGGCAATTTAGAATAACCATATGCTGTCCAAAAAGAGAAGCTACAGCTAAAGGCATTATAAATAATTAAATAAGGACGCCATGTAACCATGCACTAACCAGATCCAGGATATCATGCTTTCTAAGCAAGCATACTGAAGGTTCAGAACAGCCTGGTTTTCCAGGGTAACCCAATCCATCACCAGCTCTGTTCTTCTGTAACAGGGATAAGTATTAAGTTATTTCTTTAAAAAAGACTTATTTTGATTTTGTGTATATGAGTGTTTCCCCTTTCTATCTCTCTGTGCACCACATGTGTGCAGTGCTCTCAGAGGCCAGAAGAGGGTGCTATATTCCCTGGAACTGGAGTTATAGACAGTTGTAAACTGTGAGTGCTGAGAATCCAACCTGTTTCCTCTTTAGACAGCCAGTGCTCTTAACCACTAAGCCATATCTCCAGCCCTTAAGTTCTGTTTTAGAAAAGATGTACAGGCAGGGCACAGTGGTGGAGGCCTGTAATCACAGGCCACCGAGAAAACACAGTGAAGACCGGAACCTATACACGTCAATACTAAAAGACACCTGGTCACAGTTTCCTTTCTGATTTCTTTATTGTCAGAGCAGAGGAGCTGCCCCTTTGATGCTGACACAGACATGAAGAGCCACACTGGCTGCTGCTACGCAGCTGCTGAAAGGTTAAGGACGGCAAACCCGTGCTACAGTTCAGCTCTGCACAATGTGGCAGGCAAGGCAGTCTATTAGAACAGAGACCGGAAAGGACAGACAGGGAGGCACTGGGGCCCATGCCCAGGTTTTCAATGGGGTCCTGTAGGAAGAGTCTCTTACAGGGCCACACTGCCACAATCCCTTAGTTGAGTGGTTCGGAAGCTGTACTGAGAACTGGCCAGCTAAGAGCTGGGCATAGGAAGCAGAGCTGCAGTGACACCTGCTGTTCATGTCTGGAATGGCAATTCTTTTCCTGAGAAAAGGAAGCGGCATCCACCAACCATACACACTTGCAAAACTCCAATGCACAGTATCCCAGGCAAACATTCCTGACACATAAAGAAACCGTGTGTCTCATCCTTTTAATTCTAGCACTCAGGAGGCAGATGCAGGTGGGTCTCTGGGGGTTTGAGGCCAGCCTTGTGTACAGAGTGAGATCCATGACAGTCAGGGCTATGTAGGACCCTGTCTCAAAGTAAAACAAACAATAACAAACTACACGTCCTCACGCCAACTACTACCACAAAATTTGTTTCTAAGATGGGGGTCTCACTATGTATATCCAACTGGGCTCAAATTCATGGCAATTCTCCTACCCAGGAGACTGAGTCATGTTCAGTTAAGACATCTTGAATGTGGCATGCCACTTTATTATTATAAAGTCAGAAGACTAGAGTTCTAGACTGAGTTAATCTTGTAAAACAGTGAGATATGGGCCTTAAGCAAGAGCAAGTTGGCAGCAGGCCCTGAGGAAGTCACTCTACATCTTCCTATATTAGCTTTCTAGCTGAAGTGAATGTGTCCTGTCTGTGTGTCTAAATGGGCATATAAGACTGTGGGAGCATGCGTGGAGGCCAGAGAGGGATGCCAGGGATCTTCCTTTTATCACTCCCATTTCTTCAGTCCGGGCGGCATTTAAAATGTTTAAGTTGTCTGCAGTGAATAATGACTATTTCGAGCAATGACCTTGGAGGTCTCCAAATGATGATGGGGCCCTGCAATGACAACTCCACCTGGACTGTGGCAATGCCACTAAAGATCAGTTTTGGGCCACAAACTGCTTAAGCAACTTCAAAGCAGGTAGCTGAGAGGGTCCAATCTCACAGACTATTCCAGCCAGGACCTCAGTTAAGCCCTGCACTCTCCCATCACACAGAGACTGGACAACAAATGATACAGCTAGCTCTCCCAGGACTTGAACATTATCCAAATTTTCTCAGTGTCCACTAAAGATGCCATTGCCCCGTGACAGCAGGAAGTAATTTTAAGAACATGACACATTCCCAAGAGGTGAGGTGGGTGGTTTTGTTTGTCACTGTTTAGGGGAGTTAGTTACAAGTTGTTATTGGTCATGGTCAGGGAGAAAACTAAACAAAGGAGGTTAAATTATAGGGTTTCTTTTTCTTTCCTCTATCCTTCCTTCTCTCTTATCTAGTAAAAAATCAAAGGGGGTGGGTACAGGAATGACAGGGTAAAAGGGTAGATTACTGACTCTACTTTTAAACTAAAACCACCAGTCTCAACAGTGTACATTGATATGGATTTTTGTATACTGATACAAATTTAAGGTTATTTTTGTTATAACATACTGTATATATGTTTCTACTCATTTAAGGTATTGTACCTATGTAGATTACTTAAAAATGTAAAGTGCTAGTCCTACAAACTGCTTAGGAAAATTAAAAGCGAGTTGCTAGTTAGTCATATATAACAATCAAACTTGTAGTCATGTTAGGTATGTTTTCAAGGTTAAACAGATATATTTTAGACAGATAGGTGGTCTTCAAACACTACAAAGATCTATAGAATATGACATTTAAAATGTTTTGATAACGTAAGGCTTTTCATGACAGTGAGTTATGTCTGCTCCTGGCAGTACCAATCTACTTCAGAGAAGATGATGGGCATCAAAGAACCTCCATATGTAGTTTGCTTTAAATGTGGTAAAGCTAACCACTGGGCAAGAAACTACCCTTGCCTCAACTGCTAACAGTATGCTATCCAAATTGGACACAAAGGAAGTCAACTTGCCAAGACAGGGTAGGACAGTCCTTCAAAATTCCTGCTACATACAAAAGTCTGTCAGATATTCTAGGCCTATAAGGCAAAGACAGATGCCCCAATATTGCAGAGGAACCTTGGGTGATTGTCCAGGCAGCTAGCTGTCTCTTTGAAAACTTTCCATAGTTTTCAAAGTTGTTTGTTCTGCACTTCCTATTAATTCAGGTAATATCTTATCCTTCTCAGGTCTCTGATGAGGTTGAAGACTAGATAGTTATAGGTTTACAGTTTTCCTTGTTACCAAATTCAGAAAAGAAACTTACAAAAGAAATGTAAAGTTTATAAGGCTGAGAAACATAAAAGCTTAAGTTGTTTATCTAAGAAAATGTTTTAAGATCTAAAAAGGTATTTTTAGGTTAGTAATATAAGTTATGATACAAAGTGGTTTCGATATAAAACTTTGGACTCACCAAGATAGGATATAGATAATAGAGTAATATCTCTGAATCTGCCAAATACAAATGGACTGGATATTATGAATGTAATTTTTACCCGATTAATTGTTCTTATTGTTTATAGTATTACTATGTTAGAGTTAAAACCCTTTCCTTTTTGTTTAGACAAAAAGGAGGAAATGTTGTGGTGTATTTGATCACACTGTGTGAAGATGTCTCTGTTTTACCTCACCTGCCTAAGGCATCTTCTGATTGGTTTAGTAAAGAGCTGAATGGCCAACAGCTAGACAAGAGAGGATAGATGGGCTTCCAGAGAGAGAAGGAACTGGTGGGGAAGTCTGAGAGGTGGGGGATTTGCCAGACACAGAGGAAGTTGCAGAGGAAGTTGGACATACGGTACTGAGGAGAGGTAATGAGCCACATGGCAAAACAGATTAATATAAACGGTTAACTTAAGTTTTAAGAGCAAGCTGGGAATAAGGCTAAGCTAGGCAAAGCTTTCATAATTAATAAGAAGTCTCCATGTCATTACTCAGGAGCTGGTGATCCAAAGAAAGTCCAGCTACCAGGGTCTCTCATTGAACCTGGAGCTCACCAATTGGCTAGAATGATCAGTCAGCACACTCCAGGATCCTTCTGTCTCTACCCACCACTGCTGGGATCATAGCCACAAGCCACCACACCTGGCTTCTTTTACCTGGTCACAGCAACAACTTTACCTGCTGAGCCATCTCCCCAGCCTCCCATGCTCCATCTTACAGTATAGTTGTTCCTGCTTCCTCTCAGATGCAGGCCACACGCCTCACTCTCACAGCTCAGGAGACAAAATGCTTATAGAATGAAGGTCAGCAGCAGCAGGAGGTTAATGACATTTCTTCTTCTGCCTTGAGAACTAAAGCTTCTTTGATATAATCACTGTTCACACCTATGTCACCTCTTTGCCTTGGTCTGATTCTGCAAATAGCTGTGAAAGGAAAGTCCTCTGAGATGCAAATAATGGAAACAGTTCTGATGCCCACCGTGGGTGGTATGGACAGTATGCCTTTGTGGAACAATCTCATTGTCTGGGCACAGCACCTAGGCCTCATGATTCAGAATGAGTTCATTTCTGCACAAAGTACATGGGAATTATTTTAAAACAACAGAAAGATTCCAATAAGCTGACCATTCCCAAGTCTTGTCTGAATGTCTTGATCACTGACCTAAGAATTAACTGGCTGGAAATGTAGTTAGTAAGTAGTGTTTGCCTAGCATGCATGAGGCCCTGAGTTAATTCCCAGTACCATTAAAATAGGATAAAAGTTGAATCTTTTGTTTTTTTAAAGAACTACAAACCAGAGATTGTATTGATAATATCAAAACCAAACTAGTTACTGGAAGATCATCAAATAAACTACTATAGTGAAAAGACATCACTTTGAGA